AAAAGCTCCCAAAGGGACACAGACAGGAACTGGTTCTGGCTGGATGCTAGTTTACGCAGCCAGTTCTCAGAGTAGATCTGCCGTGCTGTAATTGATGGGCTGCTGCTAGAGACTCCAGGGATCAGCAGGCAACACTTCTGGCTTCTTAGATCAAGATAGAGGTGGGGGTGGGGGTGAGACAATCAGAGCACTTGTGTGGGCTGGGAGATAGAGACAAGGGCCCAATTCTCTTTGTACTTAGTCATGTAAATCTCCAGTAACTGCAGCAGTAAGGATTGGTGCAGCGGGGAGCTCCCTGGGGAACATTACGAGGGCTGCAGAGAATTACAAACCATGACGAAGTGGGACACCATCCCCATAGGGTGAGGCCTTGAGGAGTAGAAGGAGGTAGCAGGCTGCTTCCGCTCTGGACCCCATGGTTCCCCTCTGAGGTCCTGAGAATAGGCCATCATAGGACCTATAATTGTTGCAGCCTTCACTTCCATATTAAGGCTGATGGAAGACGGGATCTGGAGTACAGAAGTCTGCTGGCTGTATTTATTCTGGGAATGTGTGGTGCATTGTTAAAATTGTAAACTAGCTCTTTACATTTCAGGGAGGATTTCGGGATCCTGATTTATTCCTGGGGGAATTCTGCACCAAAAAAATAAAAATTCTGCGCACAATATTTTAAAATTCTGCAAAATCTGCAAATTTTATTTGTCAGTAATAAATGTGGAGGCTCCAGCATGGCACTGGGGAGCACAGGCCATTGTTCTGCACAGAGGTGGGAGATCACCCTGCAGCACCTCCCCAGCTCCCAGGACACAGACCTCTGGGGCAGGCCTGGCTCTTGCACTGTGTCAGGGTCAGGTGGAGCCTCACCAGTGTCTTTTACTGAGAGGTTCGGGGGGGCTGCAGGGTAATCTCCCACATCCATGCAGCCAGTGGCCTGTGCTCCCCACTGCCCTGCTGGAGCCTCCACGTTTATTTATGGACAAATAAATTTGCAGAATTTTAAAATATTGTGGGCAGAAATTTTAATTTATGGAGCACAATTCCCCCAGGGGTAGCAGCCCTAGGCCAGGTGTGGCCAGGCAGGCTTAGCTGTGAAGGGGCTTAGTGTGAGGGGATCCAGGTGTGGGGTGAGAGGGTTTTGTGTGGGGCAATCTGAGCATGGGTGGCCCACTGTGGGGAGGGGGAGGTTCGGGTGTGGGGAGGATCTGGAAGCACAGGGGGTCTTTGAGGGGTTCTGGGTGCAGGGGCAATGGGACTCTGCAGGAAGGGTCCAGGTGAAGGTGGTTGGGGCTCAGCGGGGTGTGGGTCCAGATGTGGGGAGCTCATGGAGTGTCCCAGGTGCAAAGGGGGTGGGGCTCATCAGGGTGGGGGTTCAAGTGTGGGGGAGTGCAGCAGGGGATGGTCTGGGTGCAGGGGGTGGGGTTCGGCAGGGGTTCTGGATGCAGGGGGTGGTCTGGATGCAGGGGGAGGGGCTCGGTGGAGAACTGGATGCAGGGGAAGAGGGGCTCTGTGTGGGGTCTGGGTATAGGGGGGGTCTGGATGCATGGAGGTTGGGCGGATGGGGGAGCATCTACCTGTAAAGTGACCCCTATCCTCATGGCTGAGGAGCAATGAGGGCGGAAAACAGGTGTGTGTGTGCACGCGGAGCTGGGGAGGGTTCTGGGGGTGGGTCTGGCTTGGCCTGGGCCACTCCATCCAGGGGAAATGCGCTCCTCCCCAGCCCAGTCGGGACTAACACCTGAGCCTAGTGCAGAGTAGCGGTTTGGGAGAAGGGCTGGGTGCGGGGCTGGGAGGAAGGGGAGGTTTTGTAAGGATAAGGCCTTTGTCTGCAGTCATATTAGGACAGCAGCAGCCATTAGCCAAGAAGGAGAAAGTCACATCCTCACATTCCATCTAAATTACATTAAAACAATGTAAGATCAGGCTGTTAAGAAGGTGATCCTGGCCTAACAGTACCCACCATCACCAGCTAAAGAAACAGATTATAAGATGGTTAAAGAAAACATAGTTTAATAGCATCCTGTCTGGCAAGAAATCACTTATCAACAGTTGTGATTGTAAAATCTATACTTCTATTGTTTTGCCTTTATGATCCCCACTTCTCTATTGTTTATCTGTATGGTCCCTGTCTATTTCTTTGATTGTTATTGTCTGTTGCATAATTAATTTTTCTAGGTTTAAATCAATTAAGGTGGTGGAGTATGATTGGTTAAAGAATTGCTTTACAGTATGTTAGGATTGGTTAGAAAATTGTATCGTAATATTTTTAGTAAAATGATTGGTTAAAGTATAGCTTGGCAGGACTCAAGTTTCACTATATGAACTGGGGTCCAAAGGGAAGTTCAGCTACAGGACACAGCCCAAGATCAGAGCTGCCAGACCTCAACATGCTGCCAACACTGTACTGCAGAAGCTGGAGTCCCCGAGATGACCTGATCCTGACTGGCCATCAATTAAAGTTCATCTGCCTTATTGGGAGCGGTGAGCATTGTATGCTTAGCATGTGAATTCTGTTTTGGTGATTGTTCATAAATAGAGTTTAAGTAGGATATTACTATGTAAGGCTCTTTCACTGGTAAAAGACCCTGCCAACCCGTAGAATGTAAGGTTACTCCCTGAGTCCATGGAAGGGTAAGGGTGGGTGCCTAAATTAAGACGATGAAGTGAGCTGTAGCTCACGAAAGCTTATGCTCAAATAAATTGGTTAGTCTCTAAGGTGCCACAAGTACTCCTTTTCTTTTTGCGAATACAGACTAACATGGCTGTTACTCTGAAACCTAAATTAAGACGGTTACGCCTTGAGCCCACAGAAGGGTAAAGGTGGGTGCTCCTAGACTATGTGAGTGACAGAGAATTTTGTGTGGGAAACAGCTTGTCGGGATGGGGGTTCATGTGTGGAGGGCTCAGTGGGGGGTTCTGGGTGCAGGGGGTGTGTGCGCATGGGGTGGGTCTGTATGCACAGGGGTTGGGCAGATGGCAGGTGGGTCTGACCTGGCCTGGCTGGGGTGTCCCCAGGTTTGCCCCCCCAAGAGATTTACCTCTCTGACAGCTGTCAGAAAAGATGCACCCACGCTGCTGGGGAGGGGGTGTGATTGCTCTTGCAGCTTCCCTTTCTTCCCCATCAGAAAGTCATTTTTCTATGAGGAAGCAAAGAAATCTGCACAGGACATGAATTCTGCATGTGTGCAGTGGCACAGAATTCCCCCTGGAGTACTCTTTGCAGGCTAAGGGGCTCTGTAGGGAAGCATGGGATCTGGGTTCAGCAGCAGTGAAGCTACAGAGAGCTAGCCTAAAGTAAGATGCGTTAAATTGTTCCTCTCTGTTTTAGGGAGTAGCCTGTTTTCTCCCTCTCTCTCTCTCTGGTTTTCATTCTGAATTCTAAGTAGTAAAGGAGTGTTATGTTGCAACCTTCCAGAAAGAGTACTTTATTTAACTTCTCTGTGGAAGTGCTGTGAACATAATCCCGACCATCCTTGTTCTCTGCAGTGCTGACACATTTGGATGTTATACACTGCCCAGGCTGGTTGCATTGATTTTAATTAATTACTGAAATAATATAAATTTGTAAAGAAACTTTTAATATTCAGCTCTCATACAGTGCTTTTCATCTGTAAATCTCAAAATGCTTAACAATACCATATTCCTCAGTTCACTGATCGCACTGTTGCCAATGCTCATGATTTTATGGTGAGTCTTGCACTACTGTGGTGTTTTTTCTTAAAGCCTGAACTCCTGCAGTCACGAAAATGTTAAATAGCCCCTAAATCACAAATTCCCTTCCTGCTCCAAAACCTCCATCAGATCCCCTTATGTGTGAAGGCTCCAGTGCGGATCCCCTCTTCCACACCTCTGCCCCGTATGTCCCGGAATCGTGTGTTGTCCATTTATGTGAGTGGGCCTGAAAGTGGCCTAGGGCAGTGCCCTGATTACTGGTCTAGCCCACACAGTGCATATTTAGTCCCTACATAAACATGCACATACCAGTTTTCCTAGGGACATGGCTGGATTTACACCTTACGCACCCCTAGGAAAAAAGAAAAGGAGGACTTGTGGCACCTTAGAGACTAATAAGCATAACGCATCCGATGAAGTGAGCTGTAGCTCACGAAAGCTTATGCTCAAATAAATTTGTTAGTCTCCAAGGTGCCACAAGTCCTCCTTTTCTTTTTGCGGATACAGACTAACACGGCTGCTACTCTGAAACCCTTAGGAACAGCATCTTCAGCACCCCCACTGCCTACACCTGACCGTTGTGTTTTCCCTAAAAATTGAAAAGAATTATAAATACAGCCTCCCCGGGAAAGCACAATACCGTCTGCCACTCATGGCGCTCCCAGCCCGAGCCAGGGCACAGACCACCTACCCCAGGTGAGGCGCAAGGGAGGACTGTACCCCTCCCCATGGTGAGTGCTCCCTGGGTGTCCTCCATCCCTCCTGCAGGCCAGCATGGCAGCCGCGCTCTGGCTCTGCCCCTGCAAGTGAATGAGGCGCTGGCTATGCCCCTCCCCAGCACAGGACGGAGGCAGTGGGGCGGCCAAGGTTGGGAAGGGGCTGGGACCCCGCTCCCAGCAGCACCTTCAGTAGCTGCCCCGCTCGGCTGTGGCTCCCAGCGCCCCCCGGCAGGTTGACTGGCACACTCGCCCAGCTCCAGCCCCACTCGCTGGGTGGCCACCCACCTGCACTCAGAGCCTGGCTGCCCAAAGGGGAGCTCTATGGATGAACTTTGAACCCACTTTTAACTTTTAGGCGCCCCAGGCACCTGCCTACAGTGCTAATCGGAAACCCCACCCTGCCTAGGGAGAGGAGACACCCTGATCTACAGCAAAATAACCCCTCTCCCTGGGGACTGTCTCTGGGGGCTGCCGGGGCTGTTCCTGTTGGGGCTTGGAGGAAGGTAGTTGCCCAACAGCCCGCGGGAGGCTCCCCAACCCACGCTGCGCCCGCATGTCAGCCCGGGGCTCTCTGCGGCAGCTTGGAGTCTGGCGGCGCGGCCGCACTGAAGCCTCCCCGCCGGCAGAGGGCGCTATCCGGCGCTCGCGCTTAGCCAGGCTTGTCCTAGCCGGGCCGCGGTCCAGCCGGCCGGATATCCGTGGCTAGGCGGAAGTGGGCGGCCCTTTCCTCGGCAGAGCGCAGCCATGGTGAGTACACGGCCCGGTCTCCGGCCCCGCCATCCGTCTCCATCCGTCGCCTGCCGCGGCCCCGCCGCCGCCTCTCGGCCGGGGCAAGGGAGCCCCGCCGTATGGAGCCGGGGGGAGCCGGGCCTGGGCCGCGCCCTGGCCCCGGCCCCGGCCCCAGCCCCAGAGATCCCCGCGGGGCCGAGCCGGGCCTCAAGGCGGGAGGGAGGAATAGCGGCTTCCCCGAGCTGCTGGCGCCGCCCGGCCGCCGAGGGGCCCGGGGAGTGGGGAGGACGGGCCCGAGCAGCTGGCGTGGCTCCGGCGCGCACGTGGCGTTAAGGGAGCTCGTAGGGAAGCAGGCCGGGTGCGCGCGGTATTGCACGGGAGCTTTAATCCGTGCAGTCTCGCAGCTACTGAGGCGGCCAATTCAGAAGGGGGGTTGTGGGTGGTAACATGCGGAGGATGATACCGGGGTACGTTTCTGCCTCAGAGCTCCCCAGTCTCTGTTAATAGCACCATAGGTTCTTAGGAACACCTGCCTAGTGAGCAGCTTAGTAGTGTCTTAATCCGTCTTTTTCCTACCCAAGGCTCGCGGTCCCAAGAAGCACCTGAAGCGTGTAGCAGCTCCAAAGCATTGGATGCTGGATAAATTGACAGGAGTGTTTGTAAGTATCCCTTTGTGAATTCTGCACCTCAAAATCAAAACAAAAATACCGGTTTCACAGCTGGAATATTTGTTTCCTTTTAATCTGCCTGTATTTGGTTTAGTAGGTGATTGGGAGCTTCTGTGAGGTTTCAGCCGTGTTGCTTCCACAAATCCTTGGCATAATTTGCCCACTGGTGGCAAGTAAGAAAATTCTCTTGGTTGGTGACCACTTGCTTAACTTGGCAAGGGTTATTCAGGGAGACTTAGAGTGGAGTTTGCAAGAGATGGAGGCCATTTACATTTGTGGGATGTATTAGTACAGTTATTGCCTTGGCTTGTCACAGAATAACTCAAATGTTTAGACCCAGGGAGTGTTGTTGAGTATGCCCCTACTGCAGCTGTCTCTGGCAGATAAGGAGCAAGGCTGTCTGTGAGCCAGTGGGATCCAAACTTTATGAACTTGTGAAGAAATCATAAGTCTAACCTAGTATTTATTGGGCACTTGCTATTTCTGTTTTGGAAGATGGGCTTTGCTGTTTGCTCATGTCATTGAACAACTGGCAGAAACTTAATTTTTCTTCTGCTTTTCTTTTTTTTTCTTCTGTTCTGTAGGCTCCCCGTCCATCAACAGGTCCTCACAAATTGAGGGAATGCCTTCCACTCATCATTTTCCTTAGGAACAGACTCAAGTATGCCCTGACAGGAGATGAGGTCAAGAAGATCTGCATGCAGAGGTTCATCAAGATTGATGGCAAAGTCCGCACTGACATCACCTATCCTGCTGGCTTCATGGGTGAGTGGAGACAAATCCTGGGAGAGGTGGTGAGGATTGGGGCAAATGCTCAGCTGCTTAAACTGTTGCATGGCCAAAAAATGAGCCTTTCATCACCATGCTGTGAAAGCCAGTGTTTGATCTTGGGGGTTACCCAACTGGATGGGGTGGCTGTTGCTGTGCAGCGCGGGTCACGTTGGTTCATGTTTTAAGTGCACGTGTAACCAGAGGCCATAATTGGCCAAAACCAGCAATTGGTGCATTATTGACACACTTGCTCCTGATTCTGACAGTGAAGGTAGTTTCTGTGAACCTCAACATATTAATCTGAAGAGAGCAGCTAGCTGACTGTTCAGAACTGTTGGCTTGTGTTCCCAGTTGAACAAATTGCATAAAACTGCCCTTTTCTGAGCATGCTTGGGCTGATGCTGTGATTTGTGCTAAGCAATGTTATCACTGGCACATTTGTTGTTGCTACTTGGCAGTTTGGTCAAACAGAAAAGAAACCAAGTATAAGTAGTGAGATTCTTTTTATTATACCCAGTAAAGTCCAGTATTTTGTGAGGCTTGCAGTTGTACTGGGAAACCACTTCCAAACCATGTTGTTAGCCTTGCGTAATCATTGGACTCTGGCCATACTGGGTCAGACCAAAGGTTCATCCAGTCCAGTATCCTGTCTACCAACAGTGGCCAATGCGAGGTGCCCCCAGAGGGAGTGAACCTAACAGGTAATGATCAAATGATCTCTCTCCTGCCATCCATCTCCACCCTCTGACAAACAGAGGCTAGGGACACTATTCTTTACCCAGTAGTTGCTCTGATTTAGTTTTAAATTGCGTACCGCCACTAGTATTAGCAACAAATATTTGCAACCCCTGAGTGGTCCTTTGCACCTGGAACTACTTTCCAACTTATCTGAGCTGAGTCTTGCGTAGCCCACTCTTCTAATTGTAGTCACTTGCCGCATAGGCTGGTAGCAATTTAGGAGTGAGGGCTTATGTCGACATGGCTGACCCACTGCACAGAGTTTTTATATACTCCATGGTGCTGTATAAATGAGAACTCCTCACTGATGATGGAACCTCTAGTGTGAATGCTACTGAACGGGGTAGCTTTCAAGCTATGATAAAGGCCTAAGAACCTGGAAACTCCTAATGAATGTATTTGTTTGAAACCAGATGTCATCAGCATTGAGAAGACAGGTGAGCACTTCCGTCTGGTATACGACACCAAGGGTCGTTTTGCAGTTCACCGCATCACAGCTGAAGAAGCCAAGGTGAGCCCCTCTCTCTGGCAGTGTTTGGGAATGTTTTGTTTGCTTTGGAACTTGGTGTAGCCAGTGGAGTGGCTGGGTTTTGCTGCACGTATCAAAACTGCCGTGTGCATGAATCTAAAAGTTGGTGTCAGTCCTACTGCCTTGAGAGAGCATCTGGGCCATTCGGTGTACTAGGTGCAGTCTACATGGGATTAAAGGGGAAATGGTGAGGGCTTACGTAGTCTCCATACACAGAAGGGTGCAGCTGGCTGTCAGAATGTGGAGCTCTGTTTAAAACTTGTTTTATTACCTTGCTGTAAGCCTCCCCTGGAGCCGTTTCAGTGGGGTGCATGTGCAGCTGTTCATTGGGGTGTTTACAAAGTGCTTGTTGAAGCAGCAGAGTGCAAGTGGTCAAAATACAGTGGACTACAAGATTAGCTGTATTCCTTCTCTGTGCTAAAGTGAATCGCTTTAGATGACATTAACTATCTGTTTCTTCACTGAAGACCTGTGGGCAAACATTCTCTTCAGTGCACTCCCAAATCGTTGTGCAGTGTGCTAGTCTCCCTGCATCTATGTTCAAACTAGCCCCTTCCTTCCAGAAGGCTCTAAGATGATGCTTTAGGCCAGGGGTGGTGAATATCTGGGCTGCCAGATGCTTTTCAGTGGAACCCAAAATCTTTTTATTTACTACTTGTTGTTGGACTTTTTTTTTTTGTTTTCTCTGGAGTCAGGTCCTCGACTATATCTTGACAAGAAATTTGGACCTTGACAAAAAAATAATTGACTATCCCTCCTTTAGGCCTTGTCTAAGCTAAAAACTTGAAGTAGTTTAACAAATTGCTTTTAAATAACTGGTTAATCTGATGCAACCTCCAAATATAGATTACTGGGACTTTTTAATCAGTTTAGTTTAAATTTGAGTACAGGTCTAGTACAGACAAAGCCTTATTTTTACCAAATGCCCAAGGCAGAATTTTCTGGGTGCAGTAACTATTAAACCTGCCTGTAAGTTCCTTTGCTTTAAACAAACATTTATACACTGTCTGATCAAGTTCTAAGACTTGATCCCTGTTTTGCAACAGTAAAAATTGGAATTAATTGCTCAAGAGGCCTGTGTCAATATTCCGTATCTGGTGGTGCGTGAATTGTCACTTATTTTGGGAGGTTGGTATCTGTGGAAGAAATGGCCATTGGGTTGGGTCCTGGTCACTGGAGTAATCTCAAACTCACTAGTGATTTTATCTGTCTTTAAATTGGAAGCCGCAAGGATGTCTGAAAACTGCTGGCCTTATTTGTATGCAAAATTGGCTCTTGTTGGACGGCGTAGAGCACAGGAAGGGTAGTGCGAGCTGTAAAACAGAATGACTATTAACTGGATACAACTCAGCAAAGCTTCTCAAATTCAAATATGAAGTCAAAACCTTTGTACCAACTTACGGACAGACACTAAAATAATGGTTCTCCAACTCTTACATCCGAGAACTTACCTCAGTGTGGCTGTTTTTGTGATTACATGATGAGGTCCTGGCTTGCTTAAACGTTTTTTGTTTAGAAAACAACAAACATTTTTACTCGTAACTGCCAGCCCTGTGGTTTGGCTGGGTTAGTTCTGCCATACATGTGATCTCACTAGTAAACACCGTAGGCCAAATCACTTCCTCAGCGACACTTGTTCCTTTCCGTTTGTTGCCATATCATGTTGCACTGGTGTCCCTGGTGGGATAATTTGGTCTACAAAAGTGTCTCCTGTTGGTGGTACATGAGCAGGAAAGGTCTCAACTTGACTCCCAGATCCCAGGGGGAGTTTTTAGGGCTGGTAGAGGAAAACCTCATTTTACTTGTAAACTCAGCAGTTTAGCTCTAAGGAGGGACAATGGACACACATTCACTGTGCTGTTTTTGGATATACTTCTGAGCAGAACCATGCTAAAATCTCTTCGTGGACACCTCTCCTCCCAGTCTAGATCTTTTTGGAGCACTTGGGTTATCTAGAAAGTAAAATTAGGGTAGCGTTAAGAGAAGGTGAAAATAAACTTGCTTTGTAGCAGTGGGGATGGGTATGTACAGTACTCAATGCCTGACTGCTGTAATCTCCAGGCTACGCTGCAGTTTGATTCTCTCCTGTATTTGCTGCCCTCTCAGTTATGTTGTGACTCTCAAATTTGGTCACTGTTACATTTACACCACGGAGACATGAAGTAGCTATGTAGGGATCAGAGGTTAGAAAGCCATGAGACCACATGAAAGGGTTTTGGCAACTGCTCTTGGTCATGGGCCACAGTCTTGCGACCAACACTAGAAGCAAAAATCTGGAAATCAGTTTCTCTTCTACTTGTCTGCCAGGTTCACAGTTCCCTTTGTAAGAGGCCTTCCTCTGGTGTCGGGAAGCACAGAACTCCAATCTGAAAAGACTCAAGTGCAGTGTAATTTGTGTTAAAAATGAACTTGGCCTCAAGCCATGTCTTTTGTTACTGAGCTGGTATGTCAGTGGACACCCAAGGCCAGCAGTGAGACAGTCATGGTGGAAGTACTGGAGATGAGGGAGAGTTGCTCCCTTTAACAGCCTCTTAGTAGGACACTTTGCTCTGGAGTGGAGCTTGGCCGCTGCCCTCGGCACATGGCTTATCGAGCAGTGCTGATACTATTTGTGCAGAGGTGGTACTTCATATGTTGTACCTAGGTCCTGTCCTGAACCATATAAGCTGTCGGTCTAGTCTGCTTGCATTCATTGCTGTTGGCTTGTGTTCACAGTACAAGCTGTGCAAGGTGAGGAAGATATTTGTGGGCACTAAAGGAATCCCTCACCTGGTGACCCATGATGCCCGTACCATCCGCTACCCAGATCCCCTCATCAAGGTGAATGACACTATCCAAATTGACCTTGAGACTGGCAAGATCACAGACTTCATCAAGTTTGACACAGGTATGTCCCTCCATCTCCTCCTGCACTCAGCTCTCTCCAAAATAGGAGAGCAGGGGTTTGGCTAAATGGGGTTATAGGATCCCCCCTTCAAAGGGAAGAAGCCATTAAGCTGAGCCCCACTGTCTGTGGGATCCAGTTTCATTAGATGCGCACAGAGTGGGCTTGGCGGTGCCAGAGCAGTTTCACAGTGCCATATCCAAGTGTAACAGCAATACTGACTTCCTAGGTTTCGATCACTGTGCGCTATAACTGCTGGGGAACTTACAGAGTGAAAATTGGCACAGATCTAACATGCAGGCAGCAGCACCTGGGGTATATCACTTTGCCATTTGGGAATAAAATAGGCAACTCCCTTGGGCTAACTGTTGCCTGTTGTAAGGTGAACATTTGATTCCAGGCATGGGATGGAATAGGAGTGGTAGGGAAATTTCTAGATTTCACTGCTCCTTCCTTGTGACACTCCAGATATAAGCTCTCCCAGTGCTCATTGTTTATGATGTCTGGTGCTGTTTCAAATGAGGCACCTCTCTGAAATGTGGATTGCCAAAGACTGTCTTAAGGCAGGTCTGCATTTGAAACGCTGCATCGGCACTGACATAGCGCTGTCTGCACTGGTGCGTAGGATGGTGTAACTAACTGCATTGCAGAGGGGTGTGGATTATACTTACAGGACGATGTAGTTATACTGAAGTAATTTTGTAGTGTAGACCAGGGCCAAATCTTAATTTCTCTTTCTCAGTAGGGTCTTCTCCACAGGCAGCGTAGGGGTTCGTGTTTCCAGGGCTGCTCTATAATGCTGGAGCGGGACTAGCAGAGGTCTGTTTCCCCCAAGGAGAGAAGGTGGTTCTCTAGTTGTCCTGGCAGAGGAGGTGCCCTCTGTGTGTGACCTGGGAGAGGAGTGGAGACTCTTCCTGGTTTTAGTCAGACTGAGTACACAGAGGCTTGAGTGCGGGAAGTGGAAGAGCCCCAATGCCTGCACTTGAATTGCACTTTTTGGTTGTAGACTGTTCTGCCTCCCCCCTGCCCCCCCCCCCCAAAAAAAAAAAAAAAAAAGGCAGCACGATGTTTCCTCTTCCCTTGCCCAAACCGGAAGGGATGCCGCATCAACTGTGTGTGTTCCCTGCTGCAAACCCAAATGCATCACTGCTGTTGGGATAATCCCTTGCCCTGGTGTTGCATTTATGTCTGTTATGGAGGGGCTGACAGTAACCCATTCACGTGACATCTTGTGCCGTGCTAAGGCAGTAACACATGCAACGTTGTTGTGCAGTTATATGTAAATTCTTCTAAATGTGTGATGCACGTTTGACGTGCCACATCTCAACTTCAGTATTGATCAAGGCAGGAGCTAAAAGAAAGCCCTGATTTCTTTAACTGATTTCTTCATGTTGATCATCACTTCCAGTAGGACAGTGCTGTTGGGGTTGGAGAAACCTGAGTCATAGAAGTGAAACGCTTGGTCTCAAAAATAACACACTTGGAAAGAAACATTCCTTGTCTTGTCTTGATGGTCTCTAAATCGTGATGGTGCTGTGAGGGGCCCTCTGTATAGTGCAGTCCTTCGGATAGGAGTGATATGACCAGTAGGAATAAAACTGAGCGGATGAAATATGACTGCACTGGAATAAAGCAGTGAACACCAGCTTCTCACTGCAACTGTTCACATTTGGTGTAAACTTAAACAGCTGCAGCTAGTGCCTCTGTCCATGGACTTGCATGGCCTGAGGTGGCCTCCCTTGTTGGACAGTCAGCCTGATTGTAGTAGGTCATCGGGTGCCAACACAACTAATCGGACCATGTGCCTTGTCTGGTCTTGTCTTTGTAGCATCTTAGTGTGACTGGTAGGGTTTCTGCTTGACCTCTGTACCAGGGCATTACCTTATTGCATCAGCATCAGACCAGACAATTGGTGCCCCATCTCTAGCAGTGGTCCACACAGGATACAAATGATCGTGTACATTGTCATAAAGGGCTTGGGGTTGATTCAGGTTTAGAGACTCACTAATGGCCTTCCTTCCATTTAGGTAACCTGTGTATGGTGACTGGTGGTGCTAACTTGGGCCGTATTGGTGTGATCACTAACCGGGAGAGACACCCAGGCTCGTTCGATGTGGTGCACGTGAAGGATGCCAATGGCAACAGCTTTGCCACCAGGCTCTCTAACATTTTTGTTATTGGCAAAGTAAGTGTGAGCTAATAGAACTTGTATTGCTTTCCTTCCCCGTGGCGTGGCTTGTGCTGAAGAGCCCCCTGCTGAATATATGTCTCACTTAGAGGGAATGGGTAAACAAAGCGCTAACTGCAAGAGAGACAGATGTGTTCCCAAGCTAGTTCTGAGCTTGTTCTGTCTGAAGCTGCTGCTCCAACTGCTGTCTGTAGCAAAAGTTAAACATTGGCTGGGGCTGCCATCTAGCTTCACCCCATGTGTTCCCAACCTCCTACAGGCTGTGGCCTGTTCACATGGCTGCCCCCACACCCACGTTAGTTGTAATGCAAACCTTTTTGACCAAAACAGTCAAATTGCTTCATGGAATGTACAGAAACCACTGTGCGCCTAATTGAAAAGTGGTGACCTCAGGGCACTGGCTGTGAACCATAAGCTGAGCACGTCCACTCATGCAGGCCATTTTCCCATGAACGTGTCCTTATGCTGTGGAACTTGAGAGCAGATTGTGGCTTCTGATCAGCTAGCAGAAGTCACTCTACAAAGCAACAAGGTGCTGTGCTGTGCTAATGGAAATCCACCTGCTCTTTACCATGTTGACCAGAAGGGACCCTGTGATGATCTAGCCCGCTCTCCAATGTAACGCACACAGGCCATAGAACTGCCCTGAAATAATTCCGTGTTTGAGCTACAGCAGATCATTTTAAAAACATCCAGTTTTGACTTTAAACCACCACTGATGGCAAAGCCACCGCACCCCCAATGGTTCCAATGGTTAATTACTCTCATGGGGTCCTGTACTGAAAGAGGTGACTGTTCGAGGCTTGAGACTGAAGTGGGTGCCCTCAGTAAGGCTGCAAAGGGGTCACAGGTGCAGTTACCCCAGGTACAGTGACTAGGTGGAGGACTAGTTGTGAACTGCCCCTTTAGTGGGTATTAAGTCATTAAAGGCTCCTGACCAAACAGCAAGCATTAGGAGCACCATCTCTGCTTATTGAATATTTTAAAAATAATTACATACAAGCAACTCATCATTTTTACTTCCAGTGCAAGGAAAAGGAACAGATATTAGAATGTGCTTTGGACAAATTAGCCCAGCCATTAAGGGTCTGATTCTGCAAAGTGCTAAATGCCTTCAGCTCCCACTGATCTCGGTGGGAGAGGATGCCTGCCACTTACAGGCTTGGACCATAAGAAAAAATATATATTTTAAATTGGGGCACTTTGCACCAATGCCACAGTACATGATGGGTAACAAATTCCTGCAGCAATGTTGCCTTTATGTTGTCAAAGAGCTATCTAGGAAAGAGGCAGGGATTCGGCTGCTGTTGCAAAATTCAGAGACCAAATGTGTCCCTGCTGTTACCCCACTGACCTATGGGACACCAGGCTGAATTTAGGCATGTGCCTAACCATGAGTTCTGTCACTCAGTAAACTCTGTGTGGCTATACTGTTCAGTGGTGCTTGTTAGGTCCTGCATGTAGGGGAAATGTTCCACTTGATCCTGTAATCTGTGTGTGAAATCTGCTGTGGGTTTGACTGAGGAGCTGGAACTAGGGCATGCACTGGCAGAGCAGCTGACTAGCTGGACATTTCAGGTTTAACTTTACTTTGATCCCCATGATGGATTTCTTAGGAAAGACTAAGGTCTTGTCTAAACAAGGTTTTTTAAAACAGTTGAGTTAAACTGGTACAAATCTCTGTGTGGCTGCTCTTGTTTTGCTTTGAAGCATTTATTTCAGAGTAGCTTAAATCTGTTCCTAATAGACTTAAGATAAACTGAAATGAGTCTCCATGTAGCCTTTTGCACCTGTTTTAACTAAATCTGTTTTAAATCCAACTTTAACACAAAGTTGCACCACTGAATTTAACAAGGCCTTAGAAGCTGCTGCCAAGAGAGCAGAATTTACTTCTCGAGAGGGAGGTTCTCCTTGGCATGGAATAACAAGGGGAGGGAAAGGGGGGTGTAGTCTGGAGTTGGAGAAAGCACCGATACTATGAAGGTTGCTTAATTGTACTGTGTTGTGATTCTCTCCTCTTGCTTTAGGGTAACAAGCCATGGATCTCCCTGCCCCGTGGAAAGGGAATCCGTCTGACCATTGCTGAAGAGAGAGACAAGAGACTGGCAGCCAAACAGAGCAGCAGTTAAACCCTCAAAAGTGGACAAACAGCAGGCCATTTCCTTTGTCAAATAAAATTGTTAGCAACTATAAAACACTGCCTTTTCCCCCACCCTCTGAACACCGGTTCTTGCAGTCCTATGGCTCTGATAAGCTGGCAGTGTACTGCAGGCTACCAAATCACGGGACTCTGGTCACTCTTAAATACTAGGTCACATGTAAAAGGAAGCTGTGGGCTACTAAATTGTCCCTTTTTTAAAAACAAATAAATTTGAATGTAAAGTTGCGGGGCGAGGGGGACTCCTTGTTACTGGGGTCTTATGAAGACGGGCCAGTTGTGAGAAGGCGTCTTCACAAAGCCACAGCCCTCTAATGCTTTTCCCCTTAGAGCAAGGGCTCTCAAACTGGGGTTGTGACCCCTCTGGGTCACGAGGTTATGGGGGGGTGGGGAGTTGTGGGCTCTCAGCCTCAACCTCCAAACCTTGCTTCACCTGCAGCATTTATAATAGTGTGAAATATTAAAAAGTGTTTTTAATTTATAAGGGGGGTGTTGCACTCAGAGGCTTGCAGTGTGAAAGGGTTCACCAGTGCAAAAGTTTGAGAACCATTGTCTGCTGTCTCCCAACAAAATTAAACAAAAAATGGGTTGTCGTTTTTTGTATATCTGCACAACAGCATCATCTTCTAGTATAGACAGATCTTCAGAGACAAAGCCAGAGAGAAGGGTTTGTGACCAAGCTGCTGCTAGCTCATGTTCTCGTAGTTTAAGATGTTTACAAATGTACATCATTTTCTCTGACCCTGGCCCAGCCTGGATCATGGATTGCTGCTGCTCCACCCTATTGATATGGTACATCTGAGTTGACTGAAGACAGGAAGGCCTCTTATGCTAACACAGTAGAACCTCAGAGTTAAAAAAAAAAAAAAAGATTTGACAAAGTAAGGAAATGGTTTCTGTGCTTTTTTGTTTAAAGTAAGATGGTTAAAAGCTGCATTTTCTTCCTCAGAGTAACGTTTCTAAGTTGTATTAAGTCAAGAACATTTGAAAGAACCAGATGTTTTGTTCAGTGTTATGAACAGGCAGCTTACAAGAAATGGAAACTTGGACAGATGACTAGGGAGGAGTATAAAAATATTGCTTGAGCATGCAGGGGTGTAATCAGGAAAGCCAAAACACACCTAGAGTTGCAGCTAGCAAGGGATGTGAAGGGTAACCAGAAGGGTTTCTACAGGTATGTTAGTAACAAGAAAAAGGTCAGGGAAAGTATGGGACCCTTAATGAAGGGAAGGCAACCTAGTGACAGATAACGTGGAAGAAGCTGAAGCACTCAATGCTTTTTTTTTTTTTTCCTCGGTCTTCACAGATAGGGTCAGCTCCCACACTGCTGTCCTGGGCAACACAGTATGGGGAGGAGGTGAGCAGACCTGTTGTGAAAGAACAGGTTAAGGACTATTTAGAAAAGCTGGACATGCACAAGTCCATGGGTCCAGATCTAATGCATCCAAGGGTGCTGAGGGAATTGGCTGATGTGATTGCAGAGCCATTGGCCATTATCTTTGAAAACTGGTGGTGATCGGGGGAGGTCCTGGATGATTGGAAAAAGGCAAATATAGTGCCCATCTCTAAAAAGGGGAAGAAGGAGAACCCGGGTAACTACAGACCGGTCGGCCTCACCTCAGTCCCTAGAAAAATCATGGAGCAGGTCCTCAAGGAAACAATTTTGAAGCACTTGGAGGAGAGGAAGGTGATCAGGAACAGTCTACGTGGATTCACCAAGGCAAGTCATGCCTGACCATCCTGATTGCCTTTTATGATGAGATAACTAGCTCTGTGGATATGGGGAAAGCAATGGATGTGATATATATTGAATTTAGCAAAGCTTTTGATACGTTCTCCCACAGTATTCTTGCCAGCAAGGTAAAAAAGTATGGCTTGGATGAATGGACTATAAGATGGATAGAACACTGGCTAGATTGTTGGGCTCAGCAGGTAGTGATCAATGGCTCCATGTCTAGTTCGCAGCCAGTATCAAGCGCAGTGCCCCAGGGGTCAGTCCTGGGACTGGTTTTGTTCAACATCTTTATTAATGATCTGGATGATGGGATAGATTGCACCCTCAGCAAGTTAGCAGATGACACAAAGCTATGGGGAGAGGTAGATACGCTGGAGAGTAGGGATAGGGTCCAGAGTGACCTAGACAAATTGGAGGATTGGGCCAAAAGAAATCTGATGAGGTTCAACAAGGACAAGTGCAGAGTGCTGCACTTAGGATGGAAGAATCCATGCACTGCTAAAGGCTGGGGAGCGACTGGCTAAATAACAGTTCTGCAGAAAAGGACCTGGGGATTTCAGTGGATGAGAAGCTGGATATGAGTCAGCAGTGTCTCCTTGTTACCAAGAAGGCTAAGGGCATATTGGGCTGCATTAGTAGGCGCATTGCCAGGAGTTCGAAGGAAGTGATTATTCCCCTCTGGCACTGGTGAGGCCACATCTGGAATATTGCTATGATGACTTGGGTCACAGAAACCCCCTTGGGACTGCCATCTGATGTGCTGGAGCTACCGCTGAACCCGTTTTCCCTGGCAGCTTGGGATTTCAGTAGCTTGCCTGGTTGTTCCAGTCATGGTAGCCTGCTACAAACAGACCCAGGTCTGAAACATGGCCCCGAAAAGCTGCAGGCTTAACTGAAAAGAGCTTAAGAAGTGCTACTGTCTCCAATACCCAGTTCCCAATGGGATCCAAACCCCAAATAAATCTGCTTTTGTATAAAGTGTATACAGGATAAACTCATAATTGTTCACCCTCTATAACACTGATAGAGAGGTATGCACGGCTGTTTGCTCCCCCAGGAATTAATATTTGCTCTCGGTTAATAAGTAAAAAGTGATTTTATTAAATATGTAACTGGTTCTAAGTAATGACAGACAGAACAAAGTAAATTACTAAGCAAAATAAAACATGCAAGTCTAAGCCTAATACAGTAAGAAACTAAATGCAGGTAAATCTCACCCTCAGAGATGTTTCAATATGCTTCTTTTACAGACTAGACTTCCTCCTAGTCTGGGTCTAGCAATCACTCACACCCCTCTGGTTGCTGTCCTTTGTTCCAGTTTCTTTCAGGCATCTCTTTGGGGTGGAGGGGCTATCTCTTGAGCCAGCTGAAGACAAAATGGAGGGGTCTCCCACGGGCTTATATAGTCTCTCTTGTGGCTGGAAACCCCTTTCCTCTGTGTAGAATCACAGCTACAAGATGGAGTTTTGGAGTCACATGGGCAAGTCATGTCCATGCATGACTCAGTTCTTTTCAGGCAGATACCATTGCCTACATGTTTGAAGGTTCCCAGGAAAGCTCAGATGTGGATTGGTGTCTTTCAATGTTCACTGTTAAGTACTCCCAATTACTTGAATAACCCCTTCATACTACGTTGACCAAATCTGTTTTATGTGCTTCCTACAACAAACACTTTAAATACAAGCGTAGAGCCAACACACATAATTTCAGATATAAAAATGATATATGCATATGAATAGAATGAATACATTCAATGGAACATAACCTTTGCAAAGATATGTTACATGGCATATGTAGCATAAAACATATTCTAGTTATGTCATATTTACATTCATAAGCATATTTCTATAAAGCATTATGGGGCGCAATGTCACAATTGCATCCAGTTTTGGGCCCCCACTACAGAAAGGATGTGGACAAATTGGAGAGAGTCCAGCGGAGGGCAACGAAAATGATTAGGGGGCTGGGGCACATGACTTATGAGGAGAGACCTAGGGAACTGGGCTTGTTTACTCTGCGGAAGAGAAGAATGAGAGGGGATTTGATAGTAGCCTCCAAAGAGGATGGAGCTCAGCTGATCTCAGTGGTGGCAGATGACACAACAAGGAGCAGTGGTCTCAAGTTGCAGTGGGGGAGGTTTAGGTTGGATATGAGGAAACACTATTTCACTAGGAGGGTGGTGAAGCACTGGAATGGGTTACCTAGGGAGGTGGTGGAATCTCCATCCTTAGAGGTTTTTAAGGCCTGGCTTGACAAAGCCCTGGCTGGGATGATTTAGTAGGGGACTGGTCCTGCTTTGAGCAGGGGGTTGGACTAGGTGACCTCCTGAGGTCTCTTCCAACCCTGATCTTCTATGGTTCTATGAACATTTCAGAGTTATGAACAGCTTCCATTCCTGAGGTGTTCATAACTGAGTTCTACTGTACTGTTCATGGGCTAGGGCTACACATGGCATCTAAATCATTCAGGGTTGGAGAGTTGCTAGTTCTCTAACTGCCTGGATCATGCAGCAGGGGAAGACCTGTAATTTCTAAAGTTCAAGACACCAGTGTGGACACAGCAACCCGGACGCCAGTCCCTCAAAGGCTCAGCCACTGTTCTCAGCAAGGGCGATCAGATGAAGGGGAACTGGAACTGCTGACAGGTGTGAATCCAGTATCCCAGCTGGCCCAGGGCATCTGAGCTGAGATTCTCAGTCCAGGCTCTGTGTTCCAGGCCCTGCAGTGCCCTTTCGGGTGGCTGTGGGATGTAACATTTCGGTAGCCAAGCAGTGGGGATTGGGAAGGTGCTGTCCATGAAGGGGTCCTCCTACATCCGGGGGAGTGGGCTCAGCTCTTAACCCCTGCCTGCCAGAGCAGAAAGGGGGGAATGACCTCTCCTGTCTGGGGCTCCCCACAGAGACCATGCTGCTTCTCTGCACTGCTTGCAGTAGTCCTCCCCCTCCCACCATTCTGTGACCCCAGGAAATGACAGCAAGGCCAGCTGAGGCAGAGCAGAGTGGGGCACATTCAGCCTGGAGAGGGGGGCTTGTGCCCACACTGTTGTGGGTGGGGGAGGGCCCCCAAGGGGCATCAGAGAGGCTAGGCTGAGGTGCCCAGGAATGTGTGTGAGGGGGTGAGGTTGCACCCTGCAGTCACACAGCCCCTTAGGGCCTTGTGATGGGAATGGCTGCCCTCACTCCCCCTGTAGCTAGCTGCTCCTTCTCCTGGGGTGTTTGCCCCTGCTGTTCCCATGGGCCTTTCCCCTGCAGGGGTCTGTCTATGTGAGCAGTGAGGGGTTAGTGGGAGCTGAGGCTAGGCTGGATGGGTGGGTGACAGTGGGATGCACCATCCAGAAATGCTTTCCTTCAGAGCCTCCCCGATGCGGGGATTTGAGGAGTGAGCAACTACTGCCCATAACTCTCTCTGCTGCCAGGCTGGCTCAAGGCATCAGGAAAGCTAGTGCGGGATGGTGGGAGGTGGTGCCCCTGCAGCCACAACCTTGCATTGAACTCAAAACTTTGCTGTGGGATTTGGGCCTCTCAAAGTGTGTGCAAAACCGTCTCCTCATGTTGGTATTTGGAAAAACTGCCGAGTCTTGGCACGTGCCGGTCATCCCTGGGTCACTGGTGAGTTGGGCAGTGCTGGGTGTACCCACGCAATCCTGAGCCGGAGCAGCACACTCCCTGTCACCCTGCTCCCCTGCCACAGCACAAGGGGGGCACTGCAGGCTAGATGGGCCATTTCCGTGCCCTGCAGCTGCAGGAGCAGCCAGCTCCTAGGCACTAGCCACAGCTGCAGTGGGATGGTCCTGCCCGGCCCAACAGCCTCGTCCCGGGGGAGATCCTGGAAAACCATGTGAGATTTGGCAGGGGAACAGCTAGAAAAGC